ATAATGCTAAGTGAAATAAGCCAGTAAGTGAAAGAAAAGTATCACATGATCTCACTCATTTGTGTAATATAAAGAACATTATAAATTGATGAACAAAAATAGATACAGAAGCAAAGAAGCATCCAACAGACTGCCAAACTACAGCAGGAAGGCTGGGGAGGTTTGGGAGGGGAGGTAAGACATCAAACAAAGGACTTGTATGCGTACATATAGGCCTCACTAATGGACGCAAGACACTGGGGGGAGGAGGGGCAGGGCATGTGCCAGAGGGAAGAGGAGGCTGGGTGAAGGTCAATGGGGATAAAAAGGAGACATATGTAATACTTTTTGTAACACTTTAAGCAATAAAACAATAAAAAAAAATTAAAAAAACACACCAAAAACAAAATAAACAAAAACACTGGGCCAAGCCTTACTCTGATCCCTTGTATGCATTATCTCATTTAATTCTCAGAACACTAAGAGGGTAGTGCCATTATAAAATAAATAAATAAATAAATACATACATAAAATAAATTCAGACTCTGTGTGTTCCCAGAAAATGGTTTAGTTTTTGAGCCATACTGCCTTGTTTTTGTTTGGGGATGGTACAGGACAGAAACATAAGGAAAAAGTTAAAACTAGCCACCCTTAAACTAAAATGAAAAAGTTGAATATTCACAGTATTTAAAACAATATACAAGATACTGTCCTGATGAGAAGAGAGGAAATAGGTTCTTTGGAAGTGTTTTATAAACTTATCGAAACACCCCATCAAATAGTCTATTGGAATGGAGGAGAAGGTTTGCCCTGGAAATCTTTAGAGAAGGCACGATAGGTGACAGGAAGTAACACAGAGCACGTATTTGCAACAGCCACATTACAACACTCAAGTGCCACTGCAATGGCGCACAGGCCTGGTGCGTGGGGTTTTCTACATACGGGGATAATGCCACGCAGTGCATGTGTAAACAGTCTCCTTTGCACAGCAGGCCTTTAAGTAACTCAACATACTGACATCTTGAAGAGAAAAATAACAACATATTCCTTTTGGGGGGTTTATATGTGTCAGGCACTTTGCTAAGTTCTTTACATGCACTATCTTATTTAGTTCTCCACAACTTTATGAGATTTTGTTTCTCTCTGCCATTAACCTTGAGACATCTGCCTCTACAAGTGCCTTGTCAGCCAGTTTAAAATATAACAAATGGATTCAAATGATATCATATGCTCACCATGTATAAAGAACTTATCTTCTAGGAACTGAAATCTGAAAAGATACATGGGACATAAATAACACTCTTTATAGAAATCTAGAACTACTGTGATTTTGGAATGCCAGATTAAAAAACATTAGATATTATTTAGAAATGGGGGAGAAAGCCTTTTCCATGCATTGCTTCATTAAAAAAAATTCATTATAGAAAGAGAGAAATATGTTCACCTGAGGGTGAACTACAAATATTAAGTAAATATAAATAAAAGACACTGAAGTGGGAATCCAGTAGTGGAGAAAGGAATATGACAGAGGAAAAGAAGGTATTAAATAAAAGGTGCCCCCAGTGAAAGCTGTAACAAGGTTCAAGGTGGTGAGCATTTTGGAAGGGTTTTCAAGTGAGTAGTGGCATGGTTAAAACATCACTTGAGAAATAGGATCATGGCCCAAGTGTTAGGGCAAAGGTAAATATGCCACTGATTACTACTGAGGCTGCACAAAGGCAAGCGATTGTACAACAGGCGCAATATTACCTACTGCTAAGTTTATTTCATCAAGATTCTTAATTTCTCAAAATCCTACTGACTGAAACCCAAAGAGCCAGAGAGGAAGTAGACATGAGATAAGCAGATGCACTTACAGGCAAACAGAATCAAAATACCCTGGTTTCTCTCAAGGGCCCATTTCTCAAGATAGAAGGGTTGGGTCCATGGTATAATTTTAGATCTAAAAATAATACCAAACATGTTTTCACAAAAGAGACTGTTAGTGTCTGATAGTTCTAAGCTTGGAAGTGCTAATGGGTATCCTTATGATGGAAAAAATTTAGGCAAAAATGAGTCATCTCCACTGCCTTTAGGTCCAGGAAGAGCACTTGTTTTTTTTTCAGGGACTCTGTATAAGAACAGGTGGCACAAATTCAAGTGGTAATAAGTCATCCAAATGCTGCTTCTACTTCCAACCCACCATGTTTTACTGCCTCATTTGGAGAAAAGGGAACGGGGGCAAGAGGATCACATGAGAAGTCCCAATAGCTTCCTGTCTTGGCAATATGGCAAGCAAAACAAATACACAAAAAAGCAAAACTTGTCTGCCAGTCCTATTAACACACATCAATCAAGTAAACAGGTCCATAAACCTCTGTTACATAAGGCCCAGTGATTCACCCCATCACTAACTGTAACTTGATTTAACTGTTTCTGTTAGCATTAACCTCACCGAAGACATCCAATGTCGACCGAACAAGCAAGCATGTCCCTGCTCTTCAGACAATGTCACTGTGCACTGAACTGGTATGCTGCTTACCGTGGTCCAAGACATAGAACACATTGTTCTTCCCGCTGCATTTTCTCCAGGGCTTTGTCAATTCCGATTGGAATGTCGTGGTCTTCTCCTTCGCCAACAATGAAAACCACATCTCTGCAATCAAACATCCTTTCGCCACAGCGGCCTTCCAGGTGGACTGAGGGAGAGAGAGGCAGTCAACCACGCTGTTCCTTAGGACTGGCGAACTTAGGGAAGTGAGAAATGAGTGTTTCCCCTTCTCACAGCAGCTAGAGCAGCGGTTCTCAACCTGTGGGTCGCGACCGCTTCGGGGGTCTAACGACCCTTTCACAGGAGTCGCCATTGGAAAACACATATCTAATTACATATTGTTTTTGTGATTAATCACTATGCTTTAATGATGTTCAATTTGTAACAATGAAATTGGGGGTCACCACAACATGAGGAACTGTATTAAAGGGT